GGGGTATTTGAGCATGCAGAGGTCCCCGTGGTGGAGGGCGTCGATGAGCAGCGCCTACGGACGGCGACGGGGTCGGATGGAGTCTGCGAGATCGGCGCGCGGCACGGCGCGCGCGGGTGTGCTCGCATGGCTCGAAAAAGCGCTCTCGTCGGCGGCCGTCCGCGGCCCGGGGTCGAACATCACCCCGTCGCTTCACCTCTCACCCCACCCGTTTTCGCTTCACCTCTCACCCGTTTTCGCTTCACCTCTCACCCCACCCGTATTTCGCTTCACCTCTCACCCCACCCGTTTTTCACTCGACGCTGAGCCGCGCCGTGCGCTGGATGTTGAAGACCGCGTCGGCGCGCGGGATCGTCGCCGGCAGCAGCGCGCGCATCTCCGTCGTCTTGTCCTTGCTCGCGAACGAGAAGCGCGTCTTCTCGCTCGGCACGTACGCCACGAGGCGCATGCCCTCGGGCGTCGGCACGCGCCGCGACAGCGCCAGCTGCGGGTTCTCGCGCGGCTCCGCCGTCGCGATCGCGCAGAGCTGCACCGAGAGCTGGATGCCGCCGTAGATCGCCGGCGACACCTGCGTGGGCGCGTAGGTCATAGGTTCGTAGGCTCCGGACGAGGCTACGTAGGCGCGTAGGCGCCTACGTAGCCCGTCAAAAGCGGTGCCTACGTAGGCGCCAGAGGCTCGAGCCGAGGCTACGTAGCCTCGTAGGCGCCTACGGAGTGACACTGGGCTTCCACGTTGTCCGGGTGGCCCTCCATCTCCGTGGCCAGCTGCAGCAGCTCCTCCGGCAGCTGCGACTGGTTCGGGTCGTAGCCCGCGCGCACCTCCGTACCTGCGCGAGCGCGGCGCGTCGGCGCGAGTCGCGCGCGCGCGCGCGCGCTCGGGGACGCGGCGGCGCGCCGGCGAGGGCGAGGCCCGCGACGAGGCCGCCGACGATGGCCGCCGACGACGACCCGAAGCCGCTGCACACGGGCACGCGGTTCCGGCAGCAGACGCGCACGGGCGGGAGCGTCTCGCCGGCGTACTCGAACGCGCGCTTCAGCGCGACCATGACCGTGTGCTTGCTCTCGCCGTTGGGGCCCACCTCCTCGGGGATGGCGCCGACGCCCTCGCCCTCCGTCTCGATGCTGAAGCTCCCGGCGCGCTCGACGCTGATCTCGTTCCAAATGTCGATGCCCATGCCGAGCGCGTCGAAGCCGGGGCCCATGTTGGCCGTCGTCGTAGGCGCCGCGCCGCGAAGGGCAGCCTCGACGCATGCGAGACGCGCCGCTCGATCGTCGATCTCCCAACATCACGCTCTTCCACCTGCGCCGCGCCGCACGCACCATCATGCTCTCCCGAACAAATAAGGCAGCCCACGGGCTGCTCCAACCCGATCCTTGTGATACTTTATATACAGACTCAACGCGCCAGTATGGTTTTGTCTACCCGCAAGGGTATGACGCTTATTAAAATTGGAACGATACAGAGAAGATTAGCATGGCCCCTGCGCAAGGATGACACGCACAAATCGAGAAAGGATCGATACTTTTTTTTGGTTTTTTGCCCTCTCCAGACACCCCGGGACGGGCGCGGACGCCTGCCGCACTGCTCAGGTGCGCGGCAGGCACGCCGAGAGGCGTACGCGGGCGAAAAAAACTCCAAAACAGGCGAAGCACCACGAGCACGCGGGCTCGCGAATTCCGCAGCCAACAGAGGCAGCTTGCGACAGCCCGACTCGTGCAAAATGATGTTCTCACGCCTCGCGCAGCGCACCGTCGGCACGCACGCGCGCTACGCGTCCAACGTGGCCGTGCTCGGCGCCGCGGGCGGCATCGGGCGCGTCGCCGGCGCCGCTGGATATTTCGTCGCCGGGAATCGCCGAGAGCTGCGCGCGCGCGCCGCGCTGCGGATCCTCACACGCCTCGCTTCTTAGGCAACCCATGTCGCTGCTGATCAAGCAGTCGCCGCTCGTGAACGAGCTGTCGCTGTACGACGTCGTGAACACGCCGGGCGTCGCGGCGGACCTCAGCCACTGCTCGACGCCGGCGACGGTGCGCTCGACGGTGGGCATGGGCAACGCCGCCGAGGCCCTCGAGGGCATGGACGTCGTCGTCATCCCCGCGGGCGTGCCGCGGAAGCCGGGCATGACGCGCGACGACCTCTTCAACACGAACGCGAGCATCGTGCAGTCGCTCGCCGAGGCGTGCGCGACGACGTGCCCCAACGCGTGCTTCCTCATCATCGCCAACCCCGTCAACTCGACGGTGCCCATCTTCGCCGAGACGCTCAAGAAGCACGGCGTCTACGACAAGAACAAGCTCTTCGGCGTCACGACGCTCGACGTCGTCCGCGCGAAGACGTTCGTCGCCGAGAACCAGGGCGGCGACGTGCTCAACACGGACGTCGACGTCATCGGCGGCCACGCCGGCACGACCATCCTCCCGCTCCTCTCCCAGATCGAGGGCGCGTCCTTCTCCCAGGACGACATCGACAAGCTCACGCACCGCATCATGTTCGGCGGCGACGAGGTCGTCCAGGCCAAGGACGGCGCGGGCTCCGCGACGCTCTCCATGGCCTACGCCGGCGCCCACTTCACCTTCAAGGTCCTCGAGGCGCTCAACGGCGCGACGGGCATCACGGAGTGCGCGTTCGTCGAGTCCGACGTCACCGACGCGCCCTACTTCTCCTCGCCCGTGACCCTCGGCAAGAACGGCGTCGAGACCATCCACGGCTACGGCACGCTCTCGCCCTTCGAGCAGGACGTCCTCGACAAGGCCGTCCCGGACCTCATCGCCCAGGCCGAGAAGGGCGTCAAGTTCGTCCACGGCGACGAGGCCATGGCCGCCTAAGCAGCGCGCCTCGCGCCGCCGTCGCGCGCACGACGCGGCGGCCTCCCTACCCCCCGTAGTTAATGATACCCTCTGGACTCTGCGCGCGAGCGAGCGCGGTGTGGTGGCGCGGCCGCGGCGCCGGCGCCGGACTCGACGCGGCCGCGGCGGCGCGGCCGGGCTCGAAGCACGCGATTCGACGAGCCTCGCGCACGTGGCTATGGAAAACGACGACGAAGGAGGCGTCTCGCGGCTCTTCAGCGTGCGAGCATAGCGTCCGAGGCCGTCGCCGGCGCGCGCCGCGACCTCAAGAACCAGGATTGCGCGACCTTGAACTTCGTAGTACTAGTGACACGGCGTCGTCACAATGTGCTTGAGCAAACTCGTCCTCTCGCTGAGCATGCTCACGTGCGCGCGCGGCCTCGTCCGCACGTCGGTGCGCTCCGCGCGCAACCTCGCGGTGCGCGCGGGCGACGACGGCTTCTCGGACTACTCCGCCAAGACGACCTTCCTCTTCCCGGGGCAGGGTGCTCAGAGCGTCGGCATGGCGGCGGAGACGGCGGCGGCCGTGCCCGAGGCCGCCGCGCTCTTCGCCAAGGCGTCGGACATCCTCGGCTACGACCTGCTCGCCAAGTGCGCCGAAGGGTGAGGCGCCGGCGCGTCGAACGCGTTCGAGAGAGCGCGCGCGCCGCGAGACGGACGCGCGCGCGTCGCAGGCCCAAGGAGGAGCTCGACTCCACCGCCGTGTCCCAGCCGGCGATCTTCGTGTCGTCCATGGCCGCGGTCGAGAAGCTGCGGTCCGAGTCGCCGGAGACGGTCGACAGCGCGACGTGCGCGATGGGCCTGTCGCTCGGCGAGTACAGCGCGCTGTGCTTCGCGGGCGCCATCTCCTTCGAGGACGGCGTCAAGCTCACCAAGCTCCGCGGCGAGGCCATGCAGGCCGCCGCGGACGCGACGCCGAGCTCGATGGTCAGCGTCATCGGCCTCGACAAGGACAAGGTCGCGGAGCTGTGCGAGGCGGCGTCGACCAAGTCCGGCGGCAGCGTCACGACGGCCAACTTCCTCTGCAAGGGCAACTACGCCGTCAGCGGCGACGTCGCCGCCTGCGACGCCGTCGAGGAGATCGCCAAGCCCGACTTCAAGGCGCGCATGACGGTCCGCCTCGCCGTCGCGGGCGCGTTCCACACGGACTTCATGGCCCCGGCCGTCGACGCGCTCGCCGCCGCCCTCAAGGAGACGGACGTCGCCTCGCCGCGCATCCCCGTCGTGAGCAACGTCGACGCCAAGCCCCACAGCGACCCCGACGTCATCAAGGACCTCCTCGCCAAGCAGGTCACGTCGCCGGTGCTCTGGGAGGACAGCGTCGCCCAGGTCCTCGGCAACGGCTTCGAGAAGGGCTACGAGCTCGGCCCGGGCAAGGTCATCTCCGGCATCTTCAAGCGCATCGACAAGACCGCCGAGGTCGAGAACGTGGTCGTCTAGGACGCGCGTCGGGGGACGAGCCTCGCGCGGGCGTCCTAAGTCGGGATTGCCGCGAGCTCGATCCTGGGCAGCGCGTGCACACACACGAGGCGGCCGCGGCGATCGTAGTAATTTACAAAATGCGGCGAGCCATCACACCGCGTCGGCGTTCTCCGGGGACATCTTCTCCTCGTCGTGCGAGCCCGCGCCCGCGCCCATGGTCTCCGAGGCGACGTCGTACGCGTAGGAGGACGCGACGTCCTCGTGGATGCCGAGCTTCTTGGACTGCTCCTTGCCGATGGTGGCGTGGACGTCGCGGAGGGACTCGCGGGTGACGAAGGTCGACCGGGCCGAGTCGGTGGTGCCGAAGAGGGACGCGACGAGCGCGTGGACGGAGGCCGGCGCGCGGAGCCGGATGAACGCGTGCTGGGGGTGGTGGTGGAGGTGCTCGCCGTCGACGTGGCCGTGGTCGAGCTCCTTGCCGATGTCGTTGATGGAGGGGAAGAAGTCGAGGTGGACGCCGAGGACGAGGATCTGGAGCGCGGAGACAACGGCGGGCACGAGGACGCAGCTCACGAGCCAGAACACGGGGAGCGCGTACGCGTGGTAGGCGACGCCGTAGTAGTCGTAGTCGAGGAAGCCGTACCAGGCGACGTAGGCCTGGGCCATGAAGATGATGAAGGTGAAGAGCATGAGGTGCTGGAGGACGACGAAGACGAGCTGGACCTCGTTCCAGCTGTCGACGAGGAGGCACGCGCGGGCCATCATGGCCATGACCATGCCGACGAAGACGGCGGTGCCGAGGACCCAGACGTCCATGGCCTTGCCGTGGTCCTGCCAGATGGACATGGGCCGCCAGTAGACCTCGCGCGTGAGGTAGTAGATGGCGAGCGACGCGGCGATGGCCTCGAGCGTGCCGTAGGCCATGTTCGTCACGTTGAGGTCCATGCGGTGGAGGCCCGCGGCGTAGAGCCGCGGGTACTTGTCCACGGTCGCGTCGGCGACGTCGTGGTCGAAGAAGCCCATGGCGAGGGGGATGAGGCCGAGGAAGAAGTTGAAGCCGCTGTAGACCCAGCTCTCGTAGAACGACGTGCCGCTCCACGCGCAGTCGGCCTGGAAGTAGAAGAGGACGAAGGTGAGGACGATGTTCTTGAAGAAGCTGTAGATGATGACCTTGGACATGCGGCGGTAGTTCTTGCGGCCGTGGTGGAAGAGGAGCGGCTTCAGGAACCGGAACTGCGCGATCGCGAAATCCGCGTTGTTCACGGCCTGGCGGCCCTCCTTGCCGCTGATGCCGACGCCGATGTTCGCCTCCTGGATCATGCCGACGTCGTTGGCGCCGTCGCCGATGGCGAGCGTGATGGGCGCCGGGTTCGTCTTGCGGCGCACGAGGCCGACGAGGATCCGCTTCTGCGCGGGCGACACGCGGCACGCGACGACGGCGCGGCAGCAGCTCGCGAGGCGCAGGAAGCGGTTCTCGAGGTCGTCGTCGCCGAGGATGGCCTCGAGGGCCGTCGCGCCCTCGATGATGAGGGCGAGGTGGTCGCTCTGGAACGGCGCCTCGGTCGCGGTCGCGTCGCCGCCCGCGACGTCCATGAGCGGGACCTTGCGCGTGTCCACGGGCGCCGACGCGGGCGACGCGACGGGCGCGCCGCCGCTCGAGGCGAGGGCCGCGGACGCGACGACGGCCTCGAGGGCCTCGAGCTGCGCGGCGACGCCGTAGTCGCCGAGCGGGCCCGCGTCCGCGCCCTCGACGGGGAGCTTGACGAGGTACATGTCGGGCGTGAGGAGGCGCGCGCTGTAGCCGATGTTGATGGCCGTCTCCATCTTGTCCCCCGTCAGGACCCAGAGCTTGATCTCCGCCTTGGCGAGCTCGGCGATCGTCGACGGCACGCCGTCCTGGAGCTTGTCCTCGATGGCCGTCGCGCCGACGATCGCCAGGTCCTTCTCGATGAGCGCCGCCGCGGCGACGAGCTTCTCCTTGCGCGCGCTGCCCAGGGCCGTCTCCGCCGCGTGCCACGCCTCGGCCCAGGCCTTGTACTCGCGGTCGCTCACGTCCCGCTGCGCGAGGACGAGCGTCCGCAGGCCGTCGCGCGCGAACTTCTCGAGGTCCGCGTCGAGGGCCTCGCGCCCCCCGGGGACCCTGGCGTAGCCCGCCGCGGCGTCCGCGAGGCCGAAGACGATGTTGTCGGCGCCCTTGGTCATGACGCGGACCTTGCCGTTCGGGAGCCGCACGATCGCCGACATGCGCTTGCGCGTGCTGTCGAAGGGGATCGTCGCGAGGACCGTGTAGGACAGGGACGTGCCCTTGGTCCCGCTCGGCGACGCGAGCGTCACGTCGACGACGTCGACGGTGCGCGACGCGAACGCGAGGCCGAGGTCGCAGGCGCCCTCGACGAGCGCCTCCTCGTCGGGCGACTCCGCCTGGTAGCCCGTGGTCCCGTCCTCGCGGACCTCGGGGACGACGGTGTGGCAGACGGCCATGATGGCCGCGAAGTCGCGCTCGACGCCGTCGCCCGTGATGACGAGCTGCTTGAGCGCCTCGATGCGCCGCGGCGGGTCGACGGTCTCGCCGCCGTAGACGCCGCCGCCGACGGCGCAGCGCTTGAACTTCATGATGTTCTGCGTGAGCGTGCCCGTCTTGTCGCTGAAGACGTGCGCGATCATGCCGAGGTCCGCGTTCATGTTCGACGTCCGCGCGAGCGCGGGCGTGTCCGACGCCTCGTCGTACATCTCGAGGTCGCCGTCGACGTACGCCGCCTGGCAGTAGTTGATCATCTCGATGGTCACGTAGAGGGAGATGGGGATGAAGTTGTTGTAGAGGATGAAGAACGTGAACCACATGGACCCGTTGCTGTAGTCGTCGCTGTTGCTGCAGTTCTCGTCGAAGAGCGCGGGCACGCCGTCCTGCTTGTAGCGGTAGCACATGTACCAGAGGTCCTTCTTGTTGCTCTCGTTCCAGAGGCAGTAGGCGATGACGGAGATCGTCGTGATGCAGACCATCGCGCCGAGGATGAAGAGCACCATGTTGTTCACGACGCGCTCGAGCTCCGACAGCTTCGACGGCACGTCCCGCGAGTTGCGCACGAGGCGCGTGTCCTTGCCCGTGTAGGCGACGACGCCGATGGCGAGCTTCGTGTTCCGGAGCGTGCTCCCGCGGAGGAGGAACTGCGACGCGTCGAGCGCGATCTCGCCGCCGGCGTGCTTCAGCGTGCCCTCGAAGCTGTGGACCTTGCCGCAGGGCGCCTCGAACTCGAGCGTCATGCCGACGCCCTTGGACTTGTCCGGGTGCGGGAACAGCGGCGCGTTCGCCGAGTCCGTCGCGGGCCGCTTGATCTTCAGGTTCGTCTCGCCGTCGATGTTCGACGTCTCCACGTAGCACTGCGCGCCCTCGCTGCTCCAGAGCAGCACCAGGTCCGCGGGGATCTCCTCGCGGTCCTTGACGAGGACGATCTGGCCCGGCGCGATGGCCTTCCACGCGACGGTCTCGACGGTCCCCGGCGGCGTCTCGGGCGAGTTCGACAGGATCCGCGCCTCCGAGTTGTTCACGTGCTCGTCGCTCTTGTGCCGCTTCAGGTCCTCGATGCCCTCCTTGGTCATCGTGATCGCCAGGATCAGGGACAGCGGGCCGATCGTGCTCCACGCCGTCAGCGGCGAGTAGAAGAGGTCGGTGTACGTCCCGATGATCATCAGGAGGCTGATGAGCAGGAAATACTGGTTCGCGGTCCGCCGGAACTGCTCGAAGAGCGACCGCGGGAGGAACGTCAGCGCGTTGTACTTGTGCGTCGTGATCGAGTTGTCGCTGTAGTCGCCCGCGCCGAGCTCGCCGCCGATGCTCACCTCGAGCACGCGCCATTTCTCCGGGTCCACGTCGAAGGTGAGCAGGTCGTCGACGAACTTGGCCACGCGCTCGTAGGCCTCCGCGACGGCCATGGCGGACGGCGCCCGGGTGCCGCAGGCTGTGGCAGCGTGGCGGCGGCGCTTGGCCACTCGAGGTTTTTTCGATGTTTTTTTGACACTGCAGCGGCGTCGCTGATTGGCCGGCGCCTCGGACGCCTCCTCAGGACGACGCACTAGTACGCGTGACCCTTGCGTGCGCGCGTCTGTGGCCCCGCGGGCCACCGTCGGGGAGTGGGAGAGCGAGGTTGCCGGGTGTTTTTTTTTTTTTTTTGTCGACTGTTACTACGTTGATCGGAGCGAAGCGCGCTTGCCTCGCTTCCTAGAGCCGGCCGCCCGACGCGGCCTTCTCGATGTCCTTCTCGGCCGCGGCGACCTCCTCGCCCTCGCCTTCCCGCGGGACGGCGGCGCCGGAGTCCTCGTTGCCCGCGTCGCCGTGGAGCTCCATGAGCTTCGTGAGGTCGAACTTGGGCTTCTTGAGGACCTTGACCTTGCGGACGAAGACGTTCTGGAGCGGGAAGATGCCCGCGCACGCCTTCTCGATCTCCGTGCCCATGTACTCGGGGATGAGCTTGAGGACGAGCTCCTTGAGGTCGCACTTGGTCGCCTCGTCGCGCATGATCTCGACCATCTTCTTGCGGATCAGGCGGACCTGCGCGCTGTTCGCGTAGCACATCTTCGCGATCTGGTTGGGCATCTTCGTCGTGAACGCGATGCAGAACATGCGGAGCGTGTAGCCGTCGGTCGTCTTCACGTCGACGTTGCCCTCGATGAGGGTCTGCCACTTCTTGATGAGCGACGCGAGCTTGTCGCGCGTCATGTCCATGCCGTGGAAGTTCGTCAGGCAGTTGTAGCCCTGGATGTCCTCGCACACGAGCTTGATCTTGCGGTACGTCTGGTCCTCGTCGTTGTTAAGGTCCGCGAGGGACAGGTCGAAGACCCGGCCCTTGAGCGCGTCGGACGCGATCTTCGTGCCCTGCGTCCGCGTCACGAGCGTCTTGCCCGCGTTGCGCTGCGAGAACATGGACGGCGCCTTGATCTCGTACCATTCCTTCTTGAGGAAGGGGTCCGTCGCCTTCTTCTTGCCGCCCTTCTTGGACTTGGTCAAGCGCTTGTTCTTGCCGACCGCCATGGTGAACCTAAGGAGCGAGGGCGTCGACGTCGCGCGTCCGAGGGGGGTGAGTGGAAATGGGGGTGCGGCGGGGGCGGCGGCGGCGACGGCGGCGGGGAGGGGGCGGCGGCGCGACGGCGGGGGCGACGGCGACAGTGACAGAGCGACGGCGACGGCCGGGCCGAGGCCGAGCCCGGCGCTGCGCTCGGCGCGGAGCCCGCCGGCCCGCAGCGACGGCGCAGCGGCCCACCGCACGACGTCCGCGGCCACGAGTCAGGGCCGTAGAGCGCCGCGCGGCGGTCCCGTCCGCGAGCTGCCGACCGCGCAGGCCGTCGTCGGGCGAGACCGAGCGGAGAGCGATCTCCGCGCGGCCACGTCCCGATTTTCGGCACACGCTCACGCAGCCGCCGTCGGCGTCGTGTCACGTCACCGGCGCCGCACACCATCATCGTCCCGCGCCGCGCGAGGGGGAGAGAGGCGAGCGCGCTCACCTCGTAGAGCGAGCTGAGCCAAGACAGCGAGTATCGCGGATGCCGCGGCTGGGGCGCCGGGGGTACCTCTCGCCGGGGGTCGCCGCAAGTACTCGAAGGCAGCGATCGCGACCACGATGACATGCGGTCCTACGTGCGCAGAGCGATGTCGCCCCGCCATCATCCGCCACGCTTGGAGCACTGCTAGTCCACCACACCTCGCAGCGCGGTCACCGACGATCTCGCCGCGCGCCCGCGGCCGCCGCCGCGGCCGAGCAGCCAAGTTGGAACTGCACTGCGGCGTGTGTAAGTGCGTGCGTAGCGCGCCGCCCGAAGACACGCCCACCCCCCCCAAAAAAAACATAGAGACCTGGAGTATTTCTATAAGGGGGAGAAGGGAGGACGGGGATCGTCGTTTGGTCGACGGGCGCGAATCCTAGGCCCGAGGCGGGCGTTTGGCCTTGATGATTCGGCGGCCGGCCTTGCTTTTCTTGGGGGCGCCGCCGGCGCCGATGCTGAAGCCGCCGGCGGCGGGTTCGGGCGCGGCCGCGCCGAAGGCGAACGGCGCGCCCGCGGCCTGCGGCGCGGGCGCGCCGAACGCGGGCGCGCCGCCCATGGGCGCGCCCCCCATGCCAAAGGCCGGGGCGGCGGGCGGCGCGGCGGCGCCGAAGC